ATCTAAGACAGAATAAATGTCAGAAACAGACGTCTTGAACAAATAAAACAAATCTGGTTATGGCAATTGGCTGCAGTTGTGATCTGATTGAAACTCAGGCTGATTAGAAGTGCTCAGGAGGAAGTGAGTGCAGCTGACCTTTTATTTTCTTTGCCCTTTACTGACAGGAGCACAGAAACAGTTTCAAACAGTGTGTTGTTTACACCCATCACTACATGAGACTTGAAAGGAGCAATTGGCAATCAATCTGTAGTATTCAGTAGACAAAAGGCGGCAGCAGAAGAAGCTTGTCTTACTCTTCTGGAACACTTGTCTTAATGTTTGCTTCTTGTAAATAAAAATGTTTTGGGTTTTTTCTCACCTGTAGAATATATCTGAATTTCAAAAAAAAAAGAAAGAAAAAAAAAATCAAAACGGGTAGAGGAAATACTTTACATATTGTGTTAAAAAAATCTATTTTACATCAGCAAATTGATTAGTTTGTGGCACAAAAATCCTATATTCAGTGATGGCATCAACAATAGAAACAGTTACACTATATAAAAAGATGCACACATATTTTTGCCTCATATTCCAGTATAAGATCTTCATAACCTGTTACTGTTATAAATGGAAATTTGTGTTAGTTATTTTTTAATTCATAAAGATTCTATCTGCTAAATTCCAGAATTATATAAAAAAAAATACTGTATCTCTTTCTTTATATTTATTAGTTTACACACCCTAAGATCTCTATACCTTTAAACACTTTGGGAATGCCCAGGTTATATTTTGTATTTGGAATCTTATGATAGACTTACTGACAGCATCTATGCTGATGTAAAATTAATTTACAACAATCAAATCCTTCTTATCATTATTGATCAGCTTCTTTTGATCCCACTGGTATTCTAGATTAATCCTTGGTGTGGAAGCTTAAGGTCTTTGAAGTAGGGAGTCATCTTGACACCATTACTGTACTTAAATCTTAACATCCCACTTAGCAGGCATCAAAACATCATTATAGCTTCCTGACAGAGTACCAATCAAATGGGTTTTATTTCTAGCTATATATAGAAACAGTAGGTCTCAGTACCCTGATTTCCAAATTGGGCAAAAAAAACCCAAACAAAATATTAAGAATGCAAAATAAACTCACTTCATGAGTATTTTAAGAACAAAAAAGGGAGGAAAAAAACATCTGGTGAAGAGCTTGTTTGGAGGAATTGCTGTTAGAGCTCAGAGGTGTCTTTTTTTTTTTAAACAAGAGAAGTTCTTTATATTCCTCACTATGATTTGTTCAAGAATATATCTTTTTTTATCATAAAAAAATATTTTTCATGCAATTGTGTTTTAAAGTATGATAATGTCAGTTTCACTTAAAGTTAAATTTACTATAATAGGATCTATGTCTAAGAAAAGGCGTTGCTTTATTTCTCCCACATTCAAAGTGTGGCTGCCATCAGCCACAGGCACCCTGTTTATAAATGGAGCAGATATTCAACCTGCCAACCAGGGGAAGAATAAATGAGTCCACTTTTGGCAGGGTTACAACAGGAATGGCACCAGAAGGAACTGGGCCCAGATAATTATTATTTTAATGGTAATGGACTAGAAACAGGAGCCTCACTGGGCCTATTTTGACATTCAAATACATTGCTAAGATACTTTGATTGAAAGGAAATTAGAAATTTGCACTTTTCCTCTGGTGCATTAGTCATCACAGAGATCTCAGAGATATCCATGTAAACAGAAATATCCTGTATGGTGAGGTCCGCTCTGTGGCCCAGTCCATTTATTCCATTACGGTACATTAAATTAATGTTAAGGCATTTTAAAATAATTTCTTAGCAATAAAATGCAGGAGAGCGGAATCCATTTTTCAGCTTTGCTAAAACATATTTTAAGGGGAGTGGCAGCCTAGTGGTTAGGGCATAGGGCTTTCAATCCTGAGATTGTGAGTTCGATCCCCCACTCCCACAGACTGCCACTCTGGGTCCCTGAGCAAGACCCTTAACCTCATACTGCTCCCCGGGCGCCTCACAATGACAGCTCACTGCTCCCCAAGGGGATGGGTTAAATGCAGAGAAGTAATTTCCCTCTGGGATTATTAGAGTATATAAAAAAATAAAAAATAAAATAATAATAATAAAAAAAAAAAAAAATATCCATAGTACGAGTCTGGAAAAATAACCTTCAATGATATCTCTTTATAAACATATTTTCTTTTTTAAAGTAATCTACTTTTTTATGAGTCTTGTTTTGAAACTTTTTTCACAATACTCTGATAATTCCATTAGTTGTTTTTTTTCTTTTAGAGGCTCATAGCTGTGGATCTTTATATAAATTACATTTCTGTATAGGTTATAAAAAAATTAAAACTAATATTTATGTATTTGAAATCATTTCAAAACCAGAGATCGGTTGTTATTAACTAGAAAGTGGCATGCTGAGAGTTCTGGTAGTTTAATATTAAAGGAACTTGTAGGAATGAGCGAAGCCGGCAGACAGGCAAAGCAGCAGAATACAAAGCAGAACATCAGACTGAACTCAAGGAAGAAATTGTATGAATCATTCAGGACAAGCAGAAAAACCATAAACAAATGTGGGAGAAGGGAAACTTGAAAAGAACTAAAACAGTTGGAGATAAAAGGAGATAATGAGTGATAACAGGCGGAAAAAGAAAAACCTGAGAGAATGAGCAGGCAAAGGGCATAATAAGCAAGAAGAAAAACAGGATCTAATCTGCAGAGGAATATTTAAGAATGTGAAGCATAACAAACATGAAATGATGCAAAACCAGCAAGGAACTAAAACAGATATCTGAGAACTGAAACCTGATGGAATGTAACATAAAACAGAAAATCTAATCAGAACAATGAAACCAGGAAGAAACAAAATATGATACAGAGAATTGAGATCTTGATCACCAAAGATTAACAGAAACAGAACATAACTCATAAGAAAAACTACATAACAATATAAGACAAAAAAAAAAAAATAGGGAAAATCACAAGTGACACACCTAATGAAAATAAGACATATCAACATAAAAAAAACTTTCACAAAATTCCCGGAATAAGACAATCACAGCTAAAATTGAGACAAAGAAAAGTCTACATATTTTGGCAAATGTAAAGGGACACAAACTACCTACCCGCTTGTCCGTCCGTCCATCAGTACGTCCGTGCGTGTGTCTGTCCGTCAATCCATCCTGATTATTCATTAATACTTTCATATCAATTAATACTTTCATGTGTCTCTTTGGCTACAAGTTTTAGTTTAGACGGTTGTGAGATCCAGCTTCTCCAACTTCCCACTGGTCTGCCCTGGAGCCTGTTCCCAGTGGGGAATGCCCAGAAGCCTTCCCTGGGAAGGCATCAGGAAAATCACCTTCAACAGTTGGCCACAGGACCTTTGAGTTAAGTCATATTATAGCAATTTAGGCGCCAGCTCTGTCCAAACCCAAATCCACTTGTTCGGGCCAAAACAATTATTTTGACGCATTGAAGATTAAACAAAGAGCGATCACAAATTAGCCTGTGAGAAGACTTTTAATTATGCTGACATTTCAAATATACCTTATTAAAATGCTAAAGGAATCCATGAAATGAATGTCTGCCTTTTAAAGAGAATCACTGAAATACTTTATCACAGTGATTATGTTGTGTAGTTTATTTATGCGATTATGCAGTTAAACTTTTTTAATATATCTAAAGAGGAATGCAGGTAAAGGCTACATTCATCTCCCCTCAGCAACCTTAACCTCATATACAGTGGGGAGAACAAGTATTTAATACACTGTTGATTTTTCAGGTTTTCCCACTTGCAACTCTTCAACTGTGAGTGATGGAATCTAAAACAACAATGTATGATTTTTAAATAATTAATTTCCATTTTATTGTGTGAAATAAGTATTTGATACACCAGAACAATGAAACTTAATATTTGGTACAGAAACCTTTGTTTGCAATTACAGAGATCAGATGTTTCCTGTAGTTCTTGACCAGGTTTGCAGACACTGCAGGAGGGATTTTGGCCCA